AATCTGTAACAAGCACATCATTGTCAAGAAGTAAAAGCAATTGATAAGTTGTTCTGATAACACCTGTCAGTGAAATAACTCAGAGCACAAAACCCAGGCATTGAAGGAGTTGACAAGTATTATTAAACCTGTTTTGCAAGAGAAGAAGCTGGTTCAAAGAGGGGAAAGCTGTCAAAGGTAATAGAATCAGTAAGTGGCTCAGGCCTCCTGCCTGCACTCCCAGCTCAAACCACGTGGCCTCTTGTGGCAGAGAAAACCGTGGGACCATCTGAACAGCTTTAGGTGTTTCCTTCTCTCTAACTTACAAAAATGTCATGACATGTTTAAAGCTACTTATTTGTTTTAAACGCAAATGTTTTACGTATGCCTCATTTTCTCTCTCGTTCAGAAATGTACACTGATCTTTAAGAGACAACAACGAATTTCTGCGTGTACTGCTCTTCTTTTTGAGTGCTTTAATTTATCTTGAATTGGGCAAATCCCAGTAATGCTTTCACCCAGGGACTAGTGCTTCATACAGATCCTGTTTTTTGAACCTGGCCTTAATTCCATGATTTTAATAAGTAAAAACGATAAGAAAGCCTAAATCAAAGTCAGTTGGGATGTATACTTGGAAATACTTCTGCCCTTTTGGAGGCAGCTTTCTATTCGTTCACTCTAGTCTCCATTCTCCAATTCATTTCCTTTTTCAGAAATACAAAAAACTGTCTTGGTGTGGGTTCGACAGGAAACAGACTAAGATAAAGACTAGGGCCCACACACTGTGCGGGACTGAAACCAGGGAGCGGGAGCCAGGGAGCTGGAGAGGGAAGCAGGAAGAGCCAACACAGGTGCTTGCCATGTTCATGTTGCCTACTGCTAAGGGCAGCTGGGCGCCTGATCCTGCAGGACAGACCGAAGGACCATAGCAAAGAGACAGACTCTGGAATGGGAAGAGAGTGACACTGGGCAAGAGAGGGACAGATGCAAGGACATTGGTCGGTTGCACCTGCAAGAAACCAGCTGGAGCCCAGAAAGAACCGGTGGCTGGGAAATGATGCAGGGAGGCCAGAAGAATTTGTGGGCAATAGCGAGCATAGACTGTTCCATGTACTTCCACGCCTAAGTATATAGGTAAAGCATGAATTCTTGCTCTCCACCCCTCTTGTGGCTACTTGTCATTAACATTCTTTTTCTTTGTATTTACATAGCATAGGAGAACTTACACATACATCTTTTTTCCTCTTAAAACACATAAATCAGGATACTGTCCTCCTTGTTCTGTGACATGTCTTTTCACATGTGTATTTCTTGCATCAGTTAGGCCTGATCATATTATCGGCAAGTTGATCTGGCCCTGAGGGAGGAACATGGGAAACGGTGGTTGAACATTTGTTGGATTAATGCGTGAATGAAGGGAAGACAGTTTGGGTTCCAGCTACAGCTTTTGCGTATAGAAGTAAGAATGGATGCCATAGAGAGGAGCAAAAGGAGCTGGGGAGAAGGAATAACTAATTTTCCCTCTAACCTTTTGAGTTCTTGGCTAAAGCCCCTAGAGTAAAAGACATAAACAAGAGGAGAAAAACAGAAGCTTATGGATATGTATCCCTCGCGTATACATGGGCGGTACCCGGGGAAAAATGAATTACTCCCCAAAGTGACTTACAGTTCAGGATTAAATATCATTTTAGTGTGGAAAGGGGAGGGGCAAGGCAGGCCTTTTAGGGAAGAGTAAATGATTTTTAGGAAACATGAATGAACAGGTCCTTAGAAGAATAGATGGGAGGTATGACATTTTATGACAAAGTTTGGGTGTGGTGTCAACTTCTAGTCTTCTCCGTGACAAGAGTCAATCCTCTCTGGCTGATGAAACTCCTGGGGAGGGGACTTATGACAATTAAATTTCTTTTTGATGATCTTTCTTTAATCAGATAAGCAGAGTTCAGAGACAGTCTCTGCCTGCATTTGCTATTTTTCATATACCTACAACTCACAACAGTCACTATAACAAAGCAGCAGGTAGAACGTTCTGAACTCCTTCAGTCAGATTTTTGGGTAGCGTTTTCTGCTATCTTTAGCATCGAGGGGAGACTTGTAGATTCATTCAGTCCACAAATATGTTAACTCTTTGCTAAGAGTGCAGCAATATGGAAAAAAATGGAGAACATGTAAGAATTGGGTCATTTCCTCATGTAGAGAAAGTCTACCCTTGAGGGAAGAAAGAAACAAGAAGAAGGGAGAGATGCAGAAGGAAAAGAAAAGAAAATAGTAGAATTCCAAAGCAGTGACGGATTTCAGTGATCTCTAAATTAGAACAGTGCTTCTGTTAATATATGTTGTTTAGAAACGAGCTTAAATTCCAGCCATCTGCTCCTACATCAAACACTTGCATGCTGTACCCCGATTTCACTGCTCTCCCACATACTTATACATCCCAATAATAATCTGATAATATATTTTTCATGATTTTTCCAACATTGATAATAAAAAATAGACTTAATTCAAACCAATGAATGGTGACCCAGATCTAAATATAAATACAGTGGAAACCGTAAGTTTCTTTAGTGACTGTCTTCTAATTAATAGGTCTGTTTTTAGCCACACTGGGTCCTTTTTCTTTTTAAGGTTGTTCTGAATGTTGTTTGTTGCAGCATCCATAAGCCAAGAATTCACATAGTTACTCAATCACACAGATTACTCATCATTGCCTGTTCATAACAGAATCCTAAAATGTTTAAGATTTCTGATGCAAATCAAAATCTCATCATCACTTGTCATTGCTAAATTAAATGACAGGATAATAACATTACATTAAAACCATTTTTCTCTTGATTGAGTACCTTTTTCAGAAGTGAACCTTGTAGATGTATATTTTTTTCATCAGTACTATAAATGCATTTAGAATCTGAGATAAAAATAGAATTGAAAAGGGGAGGAGTGGAGTGGGATGTTTTCAAATTATTGATGAGTCTCTTTTGAATCTCAAATAACCATATTTGACAGTACGCGGCAAGGAAGTGGAGTCGTTTAGCCCAGTTGATGGAGACTTTTAGAACTACCTAAAGGAGGTTCACAGGTCGAACCTGCGCTTGATTGACATGATCAGCGAAGTGTTCTTGGCATCAGTCATGTCATCCCATGGCACACAGGTTGTTAGTGACCTGTAAGAACTGGCATTGTTCTGATGCTCTGATTAATCATAAAATGCTGGTTCAGATAGATCACAGTGTATGTGAAAAATTAACAACTTCTAACCTGCTAAAACAGAGTAGGTCCTCAGTCCACTTTCTGCTGTGAACTTACCTGTTGGCCTCTCTTTCCTGTCTAAAGTTAGTTCACCTTTTGGACACACCTGCCCTCTCTCCATCTGGCCCTTGTCCTGCTTCGTTGCAGCCTGTCAGCCAGTCCTTGTGCCAAGGACCTCATCTTTTTCACGTGCCCCTCTGCCCAGAACTCCCTTTCCATTTTAAAGTAAGTTACTCTCCTTCTGTCCTTCAGGTGTTGTTTCCTCACATCTTTCACCTTGGATGTTACGAAAACCATATCCTGGAGCAAACCTTAGACTTCTAGTTTAGTTTGCCCCATCTAGTACTGTGCTCACTAGGCAGTAACATGCAGTAAAGAACTTTTACGCTTGGAGAAATTGATAAAGGTGTAGATTGAAACAGGTTGGCTGTGTGCTGACAATAGTTGAGTCTGTTGTGATGGGTGCATGGGGGTAGGGGAAGACAGTATTCTATTTTCTCAAGTTTTATATGTTTGGAATTTTTTTAAAAATATTTATGCATACAAGAACTGGGGTACAGGCCAGAGGTGCAAGGGGGTGAGAGGATTCACCAGAGACAGAGTGGGGAACAGGACAGGTAGATTAACTGAAATACACTGCTGAGGGGAGCAGTGGGTGAGACAGGAGAGGTCTGTTGTGCCATGTGGGTCACCTCCCTGGCTGGGGATCAAACTTGTGCTGCAGTGACTGAGAATAGCTTCATTGTGCCTGCGTCTTAACCCCTTGCACCACCAGGGAGGTCCCTGTTTGGAATTTTTTGAGGTTAAAATTGAAACTTAGCTCTTTGGGATCCATTTTAAAAAAAATGATGTACTCTGTGGGTCAGCGCTGCAGTGGGTAGCATATAGGATGGACTAGGGCTAAAATCTGATCCTATCATCTAAATACCCATGCCTCACCCCCACCCCCACCCTCAAGAAAACAATTTAGATTCTTGAGTGCCTGGAATGGAACTTCCCGCTTTCCCTTAGGTCCACGACATGGTTACTAGAATCCCGGTATACCTCCTGCTCTTGTGAAATGCCCAGATACAACCGGACAGAAAGACTCATTAACTTGGTCCCATCTAGTAAGTGTCCCATTTATTATTAAGTGTGAATAAAGCTCTGTGCTGGCAGAAGGGGGAGCCAGATGTGACTTCCTTCCAAGGGAAGCAGGCACCCAAGAGCACCGTGGTGCAGAGCAACTGGACCCCATCTTTCCCTTCAGTCATCTGAAGGGAAGCCACCGCAGGGTGCTGGTGGAGAGAGGAGATGCGTTCTTGACGATGATGACAATTACTGAAAGTACTTCCTAAAGGAAAAGGTCTTCTCCCCGCATCTGCATGCGTTTATGATAGCTGAGACCAGAGCTTTATTAGATAATGTTCCCTGTCTTTTCCGAACTTAATTTTTTTTTAATATTTATTTATTTATTTGTTCATGCAAGCACTGGGTACAGTCAGAAGCGCGGGAGGGTGAGAGAATTCACCAGAGCCAGAGCGGGGAGCAGAGCAGGCAGAAGGACCCAAGTACACTGCTGAGGGGAGCAGCGGGCGGCAGGAGAGGTCTGCGCGCCATGTGGGACCCTCCTCTGGTGGCCGGGGAGCAGCCGGGGATCGAACCGGCACCGCAGAGGCCGCAGGCAGCTTTGCAACCCAGCGCTCAACCGCTGCGCCACCGGGGAGGCCCTCCGAACTTAAATTTAATGCAGTTACCAATGTGCATTTTTTTCTCCTCTTTTTAAATTCTGATAGTCTTACTTCTCGTTTGCCAAAAGTGGGAGAAACCATCCATGGACATAAGTTTTTTATTGGCTTTGGAGGGAAAGGCGCCAACCAGTGTGTGCAAGCTGCTCGGCTTGGAGCGAGGACGGCCATGGTGTGCAAGGTAAGAGGACGGCACGTGCAGAGGATTTGAGGAGCAAGAGTCTGGTTTCAAGACTTGAGTTCATTGTTTTTATTTCTGTCATTGTTTTTATTTTTTAAGCCATTTTAAAGGGAACATTTGAGTACCATTCAGTACAGAGTGTTGTGCAACCACCATTTCTAACTAGTTCCAGAACATTTCCATCATTCCAAAGTAAAACTTTTCTCCCATTAAACAGTTTCTCCCCATTCCCACCTCCCCGCAGCCCCTGGCAACCACCAGCTGCACTCGGTCCCAGTGGATTTATCTGTTCTGGATAGTTCCGATAAATGGAATCATATGATCTGTGACATTTGGTGTCTGGCTTCTTTCACTTAACATCATATTTTCAAGCTCATCCACCTCAAAGCATGCATCAGTACTTTACTCCTTTTATGGCTGCATAATATTCCATTATCTCTTGCTGGACACTGGACTGGTTCTCCCACTTGGCTCTTATTGAACAGGGCTGCCTACAGACCCACAGGTACTTGTTTGAGTACCTGTTTTCAATTCTTTGGGGGAATTTCACTGTTTTTAATGATCTCAATAGGAGGGTGATCTTCCTTGTCCCTTACATTAGTTTCTGCTTCATTGCATCCTCTGGGGAGTGGCATCCCTCAGAGATTTTACTAACACATTCCTTGAATTCCATGAGCTCTTAACTGGTGTGTGAGAAGCAAGGAGGACCACCCTGCCCCAGTGGGTTTCCCTAGTGGAGCTTCCAAGCAGCAGCCTCCATTAGCCTGTTTTCAGCAGCTTTCACAGTGTCAGCACGACTTTTGGAAACTTGACAAATAATGGGTGACTTACCAAAGTTATTTTCTTCTAATGCTGGATCTTAGATTGGAAAGGAATCTGAGAGTTAATGATCTACACATAATTAATCTTTAGGCATAGTTCTGTTTTCAGGTCTATAAAGAAGTAACCCGATTTCTGTACCAATGAGATTATTTGAAAATCAGTCAAACAAAATTGATGTGTTTCTCTGAACTTTTGGACTGCCAAAGATTCAATTTTTGCATCTTTCATGAAATTTTAAGATGCTAGCATTACTAACAGGAAAGAGTGTTTCAGGCAAGCCAAAGTAGACTGAGTCTGCACAGAGAATAAGAAGAGCATGAGAAATTTAAAAGGATGAGCTCTCTTCTGTGAACTTGGGAGATTTTACCGAAATTTCTCTGAAATGTCATTTCCCGTTGCATGCAGCACTTTTCTCTCTGCAGGAGTCTCTAAATGATGTATAAATTATACAATTATCACTTCAAATGCTAATGAACTGTAGCCTTCTATCTAATGTGTGATTAACAAGATAAAATTCTCATCTGGCTATTTGGTCAGAAACATCACATGAAGCCCTAATTTGAAAGTTAGAAACCTTCTTTCTAAAGTTCAGCTCTTGAGAGTTTTTAAATATCTGTACAATGAATCAGGAGTTAATAATTGAGCACCGGGCCTCCCGCGGTGGCACAGCGGTTGAGCGTTGGTTGGTCTGCGAAGCTGCCTGCAGCCTCTGCAGCGCAGGTTCGATCCCCAGCCACTGGTGAGGGTCCCACATGGAGCGACAGACCTCTCCTGCCATGCCCGCTGCTCCCCTCAGTAGTGTATTTCATCGGTCTGCCTGTTCTGTTCCCCACTCTAGCTCTGGTGAATTCTCTCACCCTCCTGAGCTTTTGATTGTACCCAGTGCTTGTATAAATAAATAAATAAATCTTTTAAAAAATAAAATAAAAAAATAATTGAGCACCTGTTGTGTGCTGGGAATTCTGGGACTGGGAAAAGGAGCTGATTAAAAATTTTAGGGCTAACCCATCCTATACTAGAAATGAAAGGTTTGGGGAGTAAGCAAATGGTATCGACTTCAGTGGGGTTGGGATGTGGAAAGAGAATAGTATCAGTTCCTGCCTGGGAAAACCTGCACAGAGAATTGATATTGGAAGCAGATACTAACCAAAGGCCCAGGGGAGAAGGGTGTTGCCTAGAGCTGGAGCTATTGAAGGAGAGTATAGAAAACCCCGTCTGGGAAGCTTTAGCCACCAATGCTCAGGTAGCCCTAAGACCTCCTCTTTCTCAAAGATTTGAGTTTGGTTTTATTGTAGGTCTGTTAAAAGAGGCAGAGAGAAACGCAAAATAGAAATATTTGCAGTGTGATGAATCATAAAACAGGTGAGGATGTGAGACACGTGGAAGGCAGGGGGCTGTATTTGGGGAACTGTTCTATTAAGAAACTGATTAAAGCCAAGATGCTATTTGTTTTAATCTGTTCTGTGCTTGTAGGTTTATGCTAGCATCCATACTTCGAAAGTTCCTTATATCTATGTTATGCCAGCAAGGCACAGTGCAGGTCTCTGGATCCAGGCAGATGGGTAAAAGGGAATCCTGGAGCCCTCGGTGGCTTTTTCAGGCTTTTAATGATCTTTCTACACCGTTTGTAGTGAGGCAACCAGGTGCAGGGCAGGCAGGGAGGCTGAGGGGCCAGGAGACTGCCAGGCCTCCCAGCCCTGGCAAATCTTTACTCTCTCTGGGCTCTCTGGTATTCTCTTGTGGTCTCTACTGGACTCTGCCGCTGTCCTCTGCCCCACACTGTCCTCTGTGACACCATCCTTACATGCTCAGCCTCCAGGATCAGGCGGGCCCATTTACTCATATCCACACCACACTCCAGGTATCCACCACCAGGCATGCATCAGGCATGCATACCCCAAGCACCTCCTGCATTCAAGGCCACAGGTGAGAGCCACAGAGGCCAGCAGTGCAAAAGCCTGAGCAATCTTCATTTAACCTACAATCTACCTGCCCCTGAGTTAGTAATCAGATGTTTGGTCCCACAGAGGGACTTAGCCAGGATGTGTGTACAGCAAAGGATATGAAAACGTGGCCTCAGTTAAAACCTATGCAGGGTGCCTTTGCTTAACTAACCTAGGAGCTTTCAATGTAGGTTTAGTGAAGTTTAAATAAATTACGTAATCTTTTTAGACTTCTTAAAAAAAAAATATTTCTGTAAGAAATATCTATCCATTGATCATAACATATCTTTCCATTGTAAAGTGTATTTTTATTAAGCAAATTAGTCAAACTTTACAGCAGTGTTTTAAAGATGACAAATTCCTAGCAGCCACCGAACTCATGAAATTACTCAAGATAAAAATGAACAGATGGAGCAAAACAAAAACACGTAGAAAATTTCCTACGGTTTTCTCAACTGACTTATCTACTACTGCCCTGTAACAGGCTCGAGCTCAAGCTCTGATGAGGCTGCTTGATGGTGAGACCTGTAAACCATAACCTACAAGCTGAAGGAGAAAGATCTGTCAAAATATTGTGGCAGAGGGGCCTCCTTGGTGGTGCAAGGGGTTAAGACGCAGCGAATTCGATCCCAGGTCAGGGAGCTGATCCACATGGCACAGCAGAACTCTCCTGTCTCGCCCGCTGCTCCCCTCAGCAGTGTATTTCAGGACATCTGCCTGTTCTGCTCCCCACTCTGTCTCTGGTGAATCCTCTCACCCCCCACAACTCTGGCCTGTACCCCAGCTCTTGTATGCATAAATAAATCTTTAAAAAAAACAACAGCTCTGCTGTTGTGGGCTCTGTGAGCACCATCCTCTGTCATGGCCCTGCCTGAGCCTGATTTGGCCACATGGAGTTTGGCCACAGGCTGTGGACTTAGTGTGTGATTTCAGTTACATGACATTCTGAAAAAGACAAAACTATGGAGAGGGTAAAAAGATAGGTTGGCAGTCTCTGGGGGAGGGAGGGGCAAATGGGTAGGGCACAGTGGATTTTTAGGACAGTGAAACTATTCTGTGTGATACTATAATGGTAGAAACATGTCTATCTATTTGTCAAAGTTCATACAATGTACAACCCCACAGGGGTCACTAATTTTAACTATGAGGTTTGGCTGATAATGGTGTGTCAATGTTAGTTGTAACAAATGTTCCACCCTAATCATATTATCTATGAATAGAAGGACTATGTATCCAAAGGAAAAATTGAAGAATCCTTACAGAGTGGATACTAAGAAGCAAAAACAACAGAATTCTACTAAACCAAATTACCCAAATTGGCTAGGGATTTTAAAATTCCCTCCTCTTTGCCCCCATGTCAGATTTGGAGGAGAGAATAAGATTTTAAAACACCAGGCAAGTCATTACAAAAATGCCCTTTTATGGGGAAATGCAAATAACATTTTTTATAAGTATTAAGGATTGTTGGTGGTGATCAGTTCTGTGTCAGTGGGAATTTCCACATGAACAGATCAAAATAAGAGTGAAGCCATAAAACTTAGGACAATCATTAAACACTTCCCATTTTAGGTAGGATAGAAGCATAACATTAATATATAACAATTCTTTGGGCTGAAATCAAGTCTAGCATCTTACATTAAGAAGATTAATTAGTTAATGTTTATGAGTACTGTGCAGATATGCCCTTTTAAAATGCTAAGTATTCTAAAAACCACATTGTAGCATTTTACTAAATGTAAAAGATCTAACGTTCATCATTTTTTTGGTACAGGTTGGCAAAGATTCTTTTGGCAATGATTATATAGAAAACTTAAAACAGAATGATATTTCTACAGGTAAAATTTCATCTTTTTTAAAGTTCGTTTTTTATAACTTTCTTCTGTGATCTGGCTACAGGAAAAGTTGAATATAGAATAGAATTATTAGATCCTCCCCTGGTGGCCAGAGAATTTTTATGCACAGCTTTATTGAGTTTTGCTTCAATAGCCTATGGTTCATTCTTGCATGTACATTTCTCAAGATGGCAACAAAAAGATAGGAGGTTACAAACCTTTACCCCCTGGAAATGTTTCTAAAGCAGGTGACAAGGGGAAACAGAGGCTGTATTCACAGCAGATATTTTAAGAAAAGTCATTGAGGGCCATAGTTGGAAGTGCTCTTACAAACCATTGAGGCCTATATTATCATTTCACAGAAGACGTGATTGGAGCCCAGAGAGGTTCTAAATTTGTTCAAGAACACACAGCTAGCTGGAGCCAGCGCCAGGACTGGAATGCAAGTCTTTGGCTCCAATTCAAGGTTCTTGCTGCTGCCAAAGTCTGTCTGATCAACATTTCCATTTATATGCCAGTGCATAATTCTTGATGAGATGCAAAGCTTAGGAGAATGAAGAAAATCGAACAAGTTCATTTTATAAGTTTGACCTTTAGTCTTTCATTTCAAGTCTGTAATTTCTTTCACTGAATAAAATAAATGGGGGAAGGGGAGGGCATAGAAAAAAGCATATGTATGCAACGATGAATAATTTGGGGGAATTGGAAAGAAGGGTACTTCGGTGGGTTGTTACTAATTTAGAGAAAGGTACAACTAAGTATAAAGACTTCTGTCTTCCTCATTGTATAGGTAATGGGTATAAATTAACACTAATTACTTATTTCTTTTTTATCACTACAGATGGTTAAAGGTTAAAAAGTTTTTCCAAGGACTAGTGGTGTATTAAAATTGCTAAAATAGATTATCCATGCCAGGCTGTAGATACATGATTGTAATTTCTTTTTTCTTTTAGAATTTACATATCAGACTAAAGATGCTGCTACAGGAGCTGCTTCTATAATTGTCAATAATGAAGGTATGTTTTTCGCATACAGTAGTGTCATTTCGTAGAACAGACAGTTCATTTCCCGAAGTAAATGAGAGGCTTCAATTCATAACCTAATCCTATAGATCTCTTACTATACTCTCCACTCCAAGGCCTAAAACATAGTCTTTCTAAGTTATACATAAATGTTTCTTTTTATTTATACTTCCCAGTCTGATAAATATAAAATTGTCCATTCCATAAGTAGGAAATGTGATCGTTGCCACAAAATAATATTCAGAGCCTATGAGTTCCATTACCCTTCACGTGAACTCAGAATTGATATTTGTCTCTTAAAGCAGTTAAGGATGCATCTGTCATTTCAGTTAAGCTAGGTAAATAAATGTAAATAGATAGGTGTGAAAGAAAGTTGATGGATCATATTTATAGACTATTTTCTGAGTAAATGGCAGCAACCAATTACTTCAAGCTTATCGTTAGTGTTCAATTTTGCCTGCTCTTCAAACAGCAATCACATCTCAAAAGTCTACATATACAGCTAAGTCTTCACAAGGTCTTCGATGACTGAAATATTTCTTTAAAAACAGTAACCTCCCTTCACCCTCAAGCAAAGTCTTTTTAACTTCTGCCAACTATTTTCGATATAAAAACACCTCCATGTGGTTTTAAAAATCAAAATTAGTATCAGAAAGACCAGCCATTTCATCAGGCACCTTGGGCAAAACCTAGTGCATTGTGGGCCATCAGCGTGCATTCTGCTAAATTAGGGCTTGTCTCAATGTGCTTTTTATTTATAATGCAGTTTTACAAGATCATTTCTCATGAAGGACTTGGTCTTCTTCGCTCGACTTGAGTGGCCCCGAGGTTGCAATAACAACAGTCAAAAAAAAAAAAAAAATGTATTCCGCTTAAAGACAGTAGATTAAAGTTTTCATCCACAATAGAAAGACTATTCATTACTTTAAGCTGCATCATAAGTAATGATTGCTGCTAACAGAAGCTCACTCCCTGTCTTAAATCTCTTTTTTGTATTCAGGAGATATCATCAAGTTCCATTTACTCCTTATCTGTGTAACAAAATGTTGAATTTTCCATGGGAAGAGATAATGTCATATTGTGTATTGAGTGCCTCTTGCAGGAGACATCATGTGGCTTATAGTGTAGACCATCATGCAGCCTGTATTATACTATATGGTATAGCATATACCGTGAAAGTACAGGTTGGCATGCAGAAGAGCTGCCCCAAATACCTACAAGAGGGGAAATCAGGCCTTTAAATGGAGGCATGAGAAGCAAGGTAAAGCAGTGAGTTCAATTTGACAAGTTAAATTGGAGACATGAACAAGTGAGCCACATGGCAAGCAGGGTCCAGCAAGCAGACAGCTGTCGTCTCGGGCTCGTTGCTCCTCAGCCAGAGCCAGGCTCTGTAGGTTCAAGAGTCGACACCACAGAAGCAGCAGTTGATTGTAGCAGAGAGAATGAGGTCACTGGAGGAGAAGAGGGAGAGGTATGCCGTCTGTCAATGTGTGGGCACTTTGAATTTTTCCAGCACCGAGGCTGGGTTTATGCTGCACCATCTCCACTTTATTAGGCCCTCCTTGTGGCCAACAAACACATCTGTGGTAAGATGATAGCCAGCATGTGTTCCGTGTTCAGAGGTAATTTCAGGTCATGTCTATACAAGATCAGCATGAGCAGCCTGGAGCACCAAACATGACGCCTGCAACTGATGCCTCTAGACAGTGCTGTCCAACAGAAACAGAATGCCAGCCATGCACATCAGTTAAATTTTTCCATTAGCCACATTTTGAAAAGTTAAAAAAAACCCACAAAATTAATCTTAACAATAGAGTCCTTAACCCAGTATATCCAAAAGAGCATCCTTTTGGCATGTAATTAAAATGTCCTTAGAAATGAATGAGATAGTTTACTCTCTTTCCTTTGTACTCAGTCTTTGAAATCTGCTTTGTATTGAACAATTTAGGCACATCTTGATTTGGACAAGCCAGGTTTCAGGTGCTCACTAGCCACATGTGACTGGGGCTCATGGCCACCCCATTGGATAGCACAGCTCTTAAGAGTTCACCTGACAGATAAAACCCAACACATCCCCCCCTTAGGTTGCTTGGGTGGGAGTGTAGAGTGGGGCCAAATGATGGGCATATAAGGTTAGTCCGCTTCTGTTTGATCTGATACAATATAAGCCAAATACCCTCTCTAGCTTAAGTGATCTTGTACAATTTTCCATCTGTTAGATATCATCACGTATGTTTTGATTTACAAAATCACTTTTCAGAATACCCTAGAGTACTCAGGTGAAGTGGTTGCATTCTACAGAGCATTAGTTTTTAGTGTTAAGTGAGTGTATTCCTCTTTATACTCATCGCAATTATGACATCTTTTATTTAGGATTCAGAATCTTTACCACATTCGTGGTACCAGCCATTCCCCCATAAAAGAAAACTTTAACGTATGTTCCATATAATTTCTCAGCTGATGTCCTTGTATATAAGATTACTGGTAAGGAAAATGTCTTTTAGATTTTGCTGAAAAAATAATGAGAATAGGGCCTCCCCGGTGGCGCAGCGGTTGAGCGCTGGGTTGCGAAGCTGCCCGCGCCTCTGCGGCGCCTGTTCGATCCCCAGCTGCTTCCCGGCCACCGGAGGAGGGTCCCGCATGGCGTGCAGACCTCTCCTGCCGCCCGCTGCTCCCCTCAGCAGTGTACTTCGGTCCCTCTGCCTGCTCTGCTCCCCGCTCTGGCTCTGGTGAATTCTCTCACCCTCCCGCGCTTCTGACTGTACCCAGTGCATGTATAAACAAACAAAGAAAGAAAGAAAGAAAGAAAACATGCCTCTATAAAAATAAAAAAAAAAAAAATAATGAGAATAATAGGAATTTTACAGAGATAATATAAATGCAGATACATGATAAATACAAAAATCAACTTGACTGGCCTAGAAAATGTTCACATTAATCCTTAGAATGTATTTTGTATAATGATTTTGTAAAGATGTGTATAACATTGCAGAATATCGTTGCTTGGCTTTACTTGGTTTTAATATAAATATGTAGAAATTCTTTATAGGCCAGAATATCATCGTGATAGTGGCTGGAGCAAATTTACTTTTGAATACTGAAGACCTGAGAAAAGCAGCCAATACCATCAGCAGAGCCAAAGTAATGATCTGCCAGCTAGAAGTTTCTCCAACAACTTCTTTGGAAGCCCTGACAATAGCCCACAGCAATGGAGGTAATTTTACATATTTGCCATTCTTCCTATGAAAGCTCTTGTCACTGTCTTAATGTAAGTTAACCTTTCAAGTTAAGCAAAGCAATACTTTTTCTGTAGTAAAATATGTTTTCTCCCATCTGTGAGATTCACTGTCTTCTTGTAGTTCTTGATAATGTTACAAATAGGGTAAAAAAAAAAAAAAAAAAAACACACACACACACACACAACCACGAGTAGTGCTTCTGTTATCTCCCAATATAAATGTTCAGTCAAGTTAACAGTAACAATACAAGTAGTAACTAGAATCTCTGAAGCAGCCCATTGTCCAAGCTTCACTCGAGGCGATGGAATGATTTCCATTCTGAGAAGCCGGGATTAAGCTGCATGTCATGTATAATCACTGCCCAGGTACATTTTGATAAACATCCCTAGGAATTCAGTTAGTTTTCTCCTTCTTGTAAAACCTCCCCATCTTTTCTATTAACAACAAAAGATTATTTATATGTAATATTTTCTATGTTGTCCACACCCCTGAAGCAGCTCTTTTGTTTTGTTTGACCTTTGATTTTAGAAATTCTCAAATATACAAAAACAGGCACAACTGTATAATGAAATCTGTCACTCACCTTCAACAGTTATCAACCTGTGGCTAATCTTCATTTATCTCTTCTCTCTTTTCCTCCCTCCCCCACCCTAGAAAATAACAAACATTTTAAAAATCCAAAGAGTTTCTATCTGTTTGCGTCTTTTTCACCATGGACTAGTAGGGAAAGCATCTTCTGAGTTAGGATCCCATTTCCGTTCCTTGATGGCTTCTGGTCTTAGCAGAATTATCTAATTTTTCTGAGCTTTGTCTGTTAAATATATGTATAAATACTCCCCTACAGGATTTTTCCAAGCATGAGGTAAAATGTGATGGTGTCAAAGTCTCAGTAAATCCCAATTTTCGTCTCCCCTTCCCTTCTTTAAATTAAAATCAGGATAATATACTGATCGTGGCAACATTTGGTCAAAATAAATCAAAATGAAAACCAGCCACTGACTTGAGTGGCGCAGCAACTTCTTCTTGAGGCTGTGGCAGTAGTTCTGCAATTTAATACAAGAAAAAAAATAGAGAATCAGGGCCTCCCCGGTGGCGCAGCGGTTGAGTGCTGGGTTGCGAAGCTGCCCACAGCCTCTACAGCGCCGGTTCAATCCCCGGCTGCTCCCCTGCCACCAGAGGAGGGTCCCACATGGCGCGCAGACCTCTCCTGCCGCCCACTGCTCCCCTCAGCAGTGTGCTTCGGTCCTTCTGCCTGCTCTGCTCCCCGCTCTGGCTCTGGTGAATTCTCTCACCCTCCCGAGCTTCTGACTGTACCCAGTGCTTGTATAAATAAATAAATAAATCTTTAAAAAAAAAAAAGGTAGTTTCTCCCTCTTTAAAAAAAAAAAATAGAGAATCTTATTGGCTTTTTTAGGATAAAACTTTCTCACCAAAGATATAAAACTAAAAAGGAGAAAAGGAACAGTAAGGCTATTTGTGCTTGTATGTTTATATAAGTGATTTCTCCCCAAATGCGGAGTGTTCAATGTAGCAATAAGTGAAAAATAAGTCCCCGAAATGATTCTGTAGAGAATTTTTAAATGGATGTCATGACGTAACAAATTTTCCTCTTGGCAAAACAACCTGCTGTGGCAAATCCTCACTGACATTTCATATCTTTTTAATGGACTCGAAACTGTCAAAAAGCATTCAAAGCCAAAGCCCATTTGGTTACATTTTCTCGGGGTGTCACAGATGAAGTCTAATGCATACAGTAAGCTTCCTCTGCTCTGTACTCATCTTAATCGGGTGATGTGAACACAGTGTGCCGCTGCGTTCATGCTCCTGTCTTTCCTTATATAGGTCAAAGCCTATTCTCATATAACTTCTCTTTTTTTTCCTACTGTCCCTTGCTTCTCAGAGATCCCTGTTCCCTCTGTCTTAGTCTAGTTACCTGTTACCTACCCAGCTTGTGGAGGAGAGAAAGGTACAGCAACCACAGTTGAAGATCTAACCTTTTACAGGTGAGGCCAGAACCACCTGGGTGGGTGGGCACCTGACCTCAGGCTGTCATTGGGGTGGGGTCCAGAAACACTTCCCACATCAACCTGCCAGGAGGAACTGGAGGACCTGGTGCATCAGGAAGGATAGGTGATAACAGGTGAAAGACCACGCAGCCTACTTCACATTTTTATTAAAGCCCACATGCCTAATCATTAATTCCCCGGGATCTTTCTTCTATAGTGATATGGAAGTAGTAATGCCTTGCATCTCTGTATCCTTACACTGCATTTATAAATTTGATCCTCAAGAAAAAGATATGATGGTCATTCTCCCATTCAAAGGGTAGAAGACTGAGCCTCAGAGAAGTCAAGTATTTAGTACAGCCAAGGCCACACTTCTAGTAAGTGGAGCAACCAGGATTTCAGACTGAAACCCAAGTCCTGTCTCCAAGACCACACTCAATGAAGAAATCGCCAACACCCCACTGATTTCAAAGAACCGAACCTTCATGAAGAGTATCTCTGGAAGAGCAAAATCCATGAATCCGTGACATTGTCCAACATGAAACCCGATGTTTAGCTGCTCGAGTCACAGAGAACAGACCCTAGAGCATTTCCAACAAAGTGTGTCCTCCATCTACCCCAGAACACACACAAGTAGACACCTACACAGAGCTCAGCTGGTCCCAATTTGGGCATTACCAGAGAGGCTCAGGCTAGAGTGTGTGGATTTAGTGCATATTCATTCTCATGTGAGTGAAGGGAGCACTGGTGTAAGAGAAGGACATATGACCTGCAGTTCAGAATGAATCACTTAGTAAATGGAGGACCTCAGGCAAGTCAGTCAGTTCTTCCCTTTGGGCCTTAATTTCTTCTTCGGTGAAACAAGGGAAGTGGGCTGACAGCTCTCACTGTTCTTTCATGTCACAACCTTCTAGTGGATCAATCACACAGCAGAGCCAGCAAATCTTAATGATCTGTTGAGGGCTGAGTGTCCTGCCCCTCGCCCTACAAGGTGGCATGTGTGCTCATCAGCCTTATTCCTCTCTCAGGAAAGATGGTAAAATCATCATCGTCGTCATCAGCATCATCTGTGGGTCTATTATCATAGCTCCCTGATCTGTGCTACTTGCAAGTGGTGAAGTTTGAACTACACACATTGAATAACTAAATTATAGATCAGTTGTTAAAATACAGAGAAAAAAGCCCTAACAGACTGTCTCAGAATTCTCTTGCTGTCTCTACCAAAACAAAAGCATTGATTTTCAAGAGCTAGCACCACACTATCAAAAATAAGCCAGTAGCCCTGACAACCCCCCTCCTCCCTAGGTCACGATGCCATGTGCTAGGCCCACGGCAGAGCGGGCGCTGCAGCTGCTTGTGATGAAATTATGCATGTTGGTTCTGGTCTTTATATCCATTTCAAAGCAAATGGAACATTACAGGAACAATTATAAATAATTGAGATTGTAAGATCGCCAAGATTAAATTCTAGGTAGGATACAAAATACCTCTTAATGCCACTTTAGTCCTTTTCCATTTGGCAAACAAAACTTCTTGGCTAGCCACCTTGACGTTCATGATAACATTGTCCAGTACATATACCCAGCCTTTGAGTGGTGTTGCTGCTCATGCCACCGAGAAGAAGCCCTACCTCCAGTGAGAACACCAAGCAAGTGTTTGGGTATTCCCAACCTTCCCACGGTTTCTGTGCTTGGGGTGATTTTTGCTTCAATGGTTTCTGTGAGCTAGCTATTAGGGTCTCCTTTGCTGTGCACCCTGCCTTCCACAGTCACATCATTAAAAGAGTCCACTTCATTTTCTTGTCTTAAGTGCCTAGGTATCTGCCTCCCTGGGCCTCACCAGTTCCTGGTTGACATTTTTCTGCCCGCCAGTGACATGCTGTTAAGATTGTAGGATTTTAGTCCACCTGACGTCGTAATGAATAATAGATACCAGTGGGCACTCTCAGCTACCTCTGCCGCTCCGAGCTACACCACTACATGCTGTTGTCTGGTTCTACATGGTTCCAGGATGACATCATTTTTTTCCACCTTGTCTGTTACACATTCGCGCTCTTTGATTAACCACATCTGCTAATTCGTCACATTTTTTTCCATCATGTTAAAAGTATTTATGCTTATTTTTGGTAGCACAAGCCAAAGTGAGTCTTTATGACATTTGCACTTTTCCCCTAAATGTATTTACTATTAGACTCTAAGCCTCTATGTCCAGTTACTATTGGGAGCAATGCTTTCCCTCAGTAAAATACTAGCAAGTAAGATTTGATTGATTTATGGTAAAAGCAATAGTTGCTTAAGATTCAATGTAATTGTCTTTAAAATGTGTTTTTATTGTGAAAAATTTCAACTATATATGGCCACAGAGAATAGCATGGTAAACCCATACCGACCCTTGTGTTTCACTTCATCCGTGGCCATCGCCAGTCTTCTACCCCAACTCATTATTCCCCACCCCACACTGCAACCTTGGACTACTTTGACACAAAACCCAGATATGATATCACTTCATTAACTATGTACTTGGTTTTTGGTGTCTGTTTAAAGAATGATCTATTTGTATGGTGTACAGCAGTGAATCTATGGTCAGATTTATTTACCATCAGCCTTTGTACCTAATCACTTACCAGGTTAGTAAGTAACCTCTCTGACCTTTTTCTCCTCTATGAACATGTGTAAATATATAAATATAAACACACATATTGTTATTTGTTTTTTTTTAAAGAGGGGAACTGAACTATACAAATAAATTATAGAAATATTTCTGTGGCAAAGCAGAGATCTGCTTCATTCTTTCTAAGAGCTGCAGAGTGCGTGGTTGGATGTATTCTTTTTAACCAGTCTTCTCCAATGCTTGCTTGGGGGAGGGAGGGTTGTCCCTGTCACCAACAGAGCTGGGCAAACACCACCGCATGTCAGCTTTGTGTGCTTGTGTGTCTCAGCAGGGTAGGTTTAACAACGGACTTGCTGGATCAGGGATCTTTTGAGATAAAATGGAACTTTCATGAGAGTGACTCCACCCAATTGATCCACACCATGCCTTGCTCCAACCTGGGCACAGGTGCTGGAGAGGGCAGATTTGGGGATTATACCAGGCAAAGAATGGAGTTTCAGTCTTTCATTTTAACGCTTGAGGAAAATCAGGGGGCAATATCATCTAAAACCTGTAGAGTACCCGGGCATGTGAGAATGCTGGGCAGTGAAGACCTTTGTGTATCATGGACATCTCAAAGACCTTGCCCAAATCAGAAATCCCGTGAGAGACTGTTGCCAGGCTACCAACTCCAACAGAAGGCAGAAGAGATGGGTGGACAGGCGGGGGTGTCGGACAGGGTATAAAGGACAGTATAATAATAGTAATAATCCTTTACATTTGTACAACACTTTACAGTTTACACAGGGCTTTTACATCCGTTTTCTAATTTAAGCTGCACAATTACCCTGTACAAAAATATAAGCAGCCAAAAATATACTATTGAATTTCTGTGGGTGGACATTCTGGGTACTAGAATAATGAAAATGTCAGAATAGTGTTAGCCTATAAACCACTGGCCAGGATCTACTCACTGAACCAAAATGTTAAGCAAGACCTAGGAAGGTGTGGAAGTGGACTAACTAGCCTCACCAGGCACAAGCAGTGGACAGTTTCCAGTAGCCACATGCTGATAAGCATCACCCCAAGAATGTGAAATGGCTTGGTGCCAAGCTGTCTGCAGAAGAGCCACTTGGAGAATTCCCCTGTGCACACTCTTACCCCCATCAGATTCTGATTCAGTGGTTTGAGGTGGAACCCAGAAATGTTGCATTTTAATAAGCTCGCTGTGCAGCCAAGTTTGTGAACACCCCTCTGGGAGAACCTCTGAGAACTGAAGCGAGAGGCTTTTACTTATGGGTTGGTGGTAAATCAGGGCTGCTCAAAATGTTGCATCAGTGGACCTGGGAAAAGGAAAAGATGACCAGCCAGTCTGCTTGAGTTCTCTAGTGGATAAGTGTTTTGACAGAGGAGGAGCTTCCTATGAATATAATTTCTAAAGACTTTCAAAAATATTGACAAAGTTCCACAGTGAAGGCTGTTATAAAACAGTTAGGACTGGGGGACAGGGCGTGTGTTGCTATGGAAAGAGAGAGGCAACTATTTTACAGATGGCCAAACCCTGGTCTTAAAGCCAGAAGACCAGGACCCCAGACAGGGGCCCAAGTTACCCAAGTCTCCGTGCATGACCTCAGGCTGTGACCTTATCTTTCTAAGGCTCATTTCCCTCCCTGGTAAAATGCACTCTGACCCTACAGTGGCAGTGACAGTCTCTTTTTCCCTGCTTCTGCCATCCCCAGCCATCTCCACTGGTATCTTCTAGACTGAGCTAGCTCATAGCCTCTGATTGACCCTCTCCTCCTTTTTCAAGTCTGTTATGTTTCCAGACTGCTTATAGAAGCCAAGAATGCAAGCTTTCGTGTTACTGTGTACAGCTACATTAGTTAACGGTGATATATTTGAAAGACATACATTAAGTGTTCAAAATATACGTTCTGTATACAGATTTCCTACTTACTGTTCTTACCAGGAAAATTTTGAGCTCCTCAGTGTTTTTTTTCTGTCATCTCTTTTCTTTCCTGGAAAATGGATTTATGAACTAGTCTTACAACCAAGCACTTAAACTAACCCATAAAAACAGCCTGTTCACCAGCCTGTTCACATTCATACAGGTCCCTTCATGCCACATTTCAATCTTTTTCTTTAATGTTCTTGTTACACTTTGCCATAACTTTGTAATCACTTTGGCTATAAATATTGATGCTTGCCCTTGAAGTTGAATGTTTCAAAGTAAAAAGTGGAGCAAATGGCAATAAAAAGGATTGTGTACTGAAGTATCCTGGAGATTGAAATTTCAGATTTTCCTACATCTGTAAATACATTGTTTTTTAACCTAATGGGGAAAATAGTTGTACATGGGGGTTTCTCTTACTGAATGTCTGTAAATGCACCATGTCAGCCCTTTTCCTTCGCAGTGAAAACATTGTTCAATCCAGCTCCTGCCATAGCTGACCTGGACCCCCGGTTTTATACCCTCTCGGATGTCTTTTGCTGCAATGAAAGTGAGGTAAGGATGAAAGGTTTTGCTCATTCTGTGAGAAACCAAAAGGTGTTCATGCAGTGGATAAAGCTAAAACAGAGGACTAACCACATCGATTTGATTGCATGCAAATTTTCTGGCACAGTGAAAACAGATTTTTCAGTTGACTGGTGTGTGTAAAAAGGAAATTAGTGAGCCCCAAAAAAGAAGAGGATTTCCTGAGTCATCCCCATAATCTAGCATTTATCAAACCTCAGCTAATTTTAGTCTCCTCCCTGCCCTCACGCTATTGGTGTTTTGTTTTCTTTCATAATTAGTCCAAAGAATATTGACTAATTTGTATTAGGATCGTCAGATTTAGCAAATAAAAATACGGGGTGCCCAGTTAAATTGGAATTTATGGTAAGTCCTAAATATAGTTATACTATAAAATGTACTGTAAAATTATAAAATTTAACTGGGCATCCTATATTTTATCTAGCAACCCTAATGAATATACAACCCTTGGAGCATTTACTATAGTCTATTATGAAGACCCTCTGGTTGCATTGGCAGACAAGCATAGAATCCTCATCGATAACTTGGGAAAGAACTGGGGGCCTACTACATTAGGGGAGCACCCCCTCAGTCCTTCCAGTAGTCATAAAGTGTATATGTGCATGAAATATCAATGTATTCATATTGTCCCACTCATTCTGGAGCATTTTAGGAAGATTTCAATAGTTCTCCATTTTATTGGCCAGACAGTGTTAGAATGGAGCTCTCCCCAAATACTGGAGGGCACAGTAGATAGAGAACAAAGAGAGAAGTAATTAATGAGCTCTAATAGTCATCTTCCATTGGGTTCGAAGGGTGAATAAAGTTTTTTAGGATTACCTAACATGCCTCTTTGTTAATTTCATCTCCCAGAACATGGAGGAAACAAGACTACTACAATGAAACTAATTTTTAAAAACCACAATAGGTTATGCAATATTTTTGAGCAATCAACATGGCCAGGCATTGTTCTAAGAAGAGGGAATTGTGGGAGGTAGTGACCATTTCACAATAAGAGGTTAGATTACCTTCAACTGCCAAACCGGCTTAGGTTTGCCTACTAAATACCTACAGAGCATCTCTCTGGTCTTTAAACATTCATTGCAGCTCAAATTATTCACTCCGTCTGTCTTCTTACAATGATAAGTCCTATGAGGACAGGGACTTCTCTCTTACTACTGTCTCCTCAGTGTGCCAGGGGAAAACGTCGTGGCACCACCAACAATATGTATTTTCTCTCACTGTTCCTGTGCATCAGGACTTGGGACAAGACACTATGGCTTGCTTCTCCTCCACTTCTAGGTCCTAGAAAACTCAAAGGCCATGGGCTGGAGTCATCAGAAGCCTCCTTTGCTCCCAGGCTTGCTAGCTCATGCTGGCTGTAGATCAGAAAACTTGAAACAGAAACAGCAAATATGGCGTCTTCTGTGACCTAGACATTCTCACAATCTGGAAGTTGGTTTCCAAAACCCAGGGGAAAGAGAGAGAAAGAGCCAGGCAGACGTTGGCTTTGGTTTTTATGACTTACTTTTGGAAGTCACATGGCATCTATTCGGATCTCTTCTGTTGATTGAGGCAGGAAGTCCACCTTGGTTCCCCAGCTGTCAGAGGAAGATTGGATTGCAACGTATTTATCTCTGGAAAATACCAACTGCCCTACTGTACCTAGCACCAAATAAATGCTTTATCGAAAAATGTAGATGAACAAATGGAACAAACTATGGTATTTAAGAAAATTGATCTTGAAAACAATGGAAAAAAGGAAAACTTTCAAAGTTGAACATTCTTATGGGTGACTTCATCATGCAGTAATGTAAATGCATGCCTTAGGATACTTTCCTCTGCTCCACCCACACACACAAGCCACTGAGACATAAAAAGAGACCATGAGGAGACACAAGTCCAAACACAAGACATGTACTTCCACACATCACCATGGGAGCGAGTCTCAGCGCCCTCAGCCTGCCGTGCTGGGCCCTGGAAGCCAGCAGAGGTGGTAGGATGGTTGCCTCCCATAAGAAATGGGCACCATTAAAAGCGAAAAAGTTCCCCATTGTATTGGTGGTTATGCAAAAGAAGGGAGACATTTTCTAGAAAAATAAATGTAATATGGAAGTGGACCCATGTTGCTTTTCTCACTGCCGTTTCTTTCTCTTTCGTGCACTGCAGGCTGAGATTCTCACCGGCCTGCCGGTCAGCAGCCCCACAGATGCTGGCAAGGCCGCACTGACCCTCCTGCAAAGGGGCTGCCGGGTCGTCATTGTCACCTTAGGTGGCGAAGGATGTGTGATGCTGTCACAGACAGACCCTGTCCCAAAGCACATTCCCACAGAGAAAGTCAAGGCTGTGGATACCACGGTAGGTTTTTTAATTTCAGACTCATTTTTGATCCTTGAAAATCACCACTTAGTAACTAAGATAACAAACCTGAATTTGGGGGTTGTGAGGTAAAGTCCTTGGGGGATTATATGGTAGAAAAGAATCTCCACCTGTAGAACTCTATCTGAATCCCTCTCTAGCTCACTACAGGACTTTTGCAAGTTACTTATCCTTTCTGAGCCTCATGCATAAATCAGAACAGCAGTAGAATTACACCTGTACTGCCTGTATTCATTCATTTATTCAATACCTAATATGAGGTGCTGGGGCTCTAGTGATGAACAAGACAAAGTCTCTGCCCTTGTGGGATTTAGATTCTAGATAGAAAACAAACTGCAAATAAGTGAACAAATATTACTAGTCTGTGTTGTGGAACGAAATAGCAAGGAGCACTGGTGAGTGAGCACTTTCTTTTAGCCAGTACATTGTAACGGCTAACACTTATTAATGCTGACTCTTACCTCCTTTGCATCCACCTCACTTAATCTTAACAGCATGAGTTAGTACTACTGCTACTATCCTCACTTTACAGATGGAGAAACTTATCAGGATCACATTGCCAGGAAGTAGCAGAACTAGAGGTTCAAAACTAGCTCTGTCCCCACGCAGACACCTGTGCTTGTTAAGGATAGGCGGGTTAGATGGACAAGTTCTGCCTATCATTCAGAGATGCAAAGAAAACAAGTTAGAGAAAAGACCAGGGGTTCCTAGAAAACTAAGAAAATGAACATTTTCATTTATGGAATTGCTGACCAAAAAAGGTAAATAATCATCAGAAACTAGAGTTGAAGAAGAATAAAGAAGTTTATGGCCTTTCTTTATAAGTAACTGTATATAATTAATTATTTATAAAAAGTTTTGGTTTTTCTTCTTAGAAAAGACTTTAAAATGTTGGACATCTAGGGCCTCCCTGGTGGCGCAGCGGTTGAGCGCTGGGTTGCGAAGCTGCCCGCGGCCTCTGCGGCGCCGGTTCGATCCCCGGCTGCTCCCCGGCCACCAGGGGAGGGTCCCACATGGTGCGCAGACCTCTCCTGCAGCGCCTGCTGCTCCCCTCAGCAGTGTGCTTTGGTCCTTCTGCCTGCTCTGCTCCCCGCTCTGGCTCTGGTGAATTCTCTCACCCTCCCGCGCTTCTGACTGTGCCCAGTGCATGTATGAACAAAGCAAACAAACAAATAAATAAATAAATAAATAAAAACATGCCTCTAAAATGTTGGACATCTATCCTGAGGGGATTTGATGATGTTTTAGATACAGATATGCTTTGTGCAAGGAATGCTTTTATGACATGACATTACATCCTCCTTGACCTTCAAAATGTGCTTTATCTGAGTGATGTTCTTCCCTACATATTATTTAGTCATTTCTGAAACATCTTTTTTTTCCCCCACTTTGCCAAAGACAGTAACCTGAACTGGAGAGGTTTCTTACTAGTTTTGAATTTCATCCTTCATAGACTAAAACTGGGAAGAATGTCTCCCAGGAGCAAAGAAAAAAAAATCATCACAAGGAAATAGAAAGAAGTAATGGAATCCAATGTGTTTGAATATGCCCAGAGAATTTTCATTTTCTTGCTGAATTTGAGAGTGAATTAGTAATTCATGTGTAAAACGCTGAGGAAATGAAAAAATCAGGCAAGTGTTTGCCTCTAGGTCATGTGGAGTCTAAGGGAGGAAAGTATGATTAAGTCAACACAGTCTCTGTGCAGCACATGGCCAGGAAGGCCTAGTCATAACAGTGTTAAGTGCCAAGGGTCGACTTAACCAAAACGGAGACTATAATATAGGAGACTATAATATATTGTGAAGATGAAAGTGTGTGTTCATGTGCACCTGTGGGGGAGATAACAGAACTAAATGCTCATCTTTCATAGTTGGAAGTCAAGAGATAATATCTAAAACTGACTTTTAAATAGCAGTGTAAGCATATTACCAGGAATAGAAGATAAATACCAGAAGAAACCACTGAAAGAATTTAAAGTATTTGCCTTGTGGAAATGGGAGTGGAGAGGAATGAGGGATTTACACTTTTAGCCTTTTCTTTTTTAACTGTGTATATGGGTGGCTTTTTTTTTTTTTATGGCAAAACACAATGAGCTACCACTTCATATCCACTGGGATGGCTATAATAAAAAAAGCAAAAATAGCAAGTGTTGAATGTGGAAAAAATGGACTCTCATAATTGCGGTTGAGAGTCTAGGATGGTGTGGCTATTTTGGAAAATAATCTGGAGGTGCTTGGAAAAGTTAAATTTAGTTTACAGTATGACCCCACAATTCTACTTCTAGGTGTAGATCCAGAGAAAAGAAAACATATGTCCACAGGAAAACATTTATATACAAATGCTCATAGCAGCATTATTCCTAACGACACAAATTTGGAAATGGCCCAAATTTTCATCAACAGACAATTGGCTAAACAAATCATGCCTTATACATACAGTAGAATAGTATACAGTCATAAAAAGGAATACGTTATCGCATGGATGACTGCACAACATCATGCTAGGTGAGAGAGCACCAGATACAAAAGGTCACATGTTTCATGACTCCATTGGTAACAACTATCCAGAGCAGAGAAATCATAGACAGAACCCAGGGGGAGGGAGGAAGGGAAGAAATTGTATACAGGTAGGGGCACTACTTGGGAGTAATAGAAATGTTGTAGAACTGGGCAGAGCTGATGATTGCTGTGTTGTGAGTGCACTAAGTGCTGCTGAATTGTACACATCTCTTTCTTTCTTGCTATTCTGCTCATCAGTGGTCTAGACGAGGAAGATGGGGGAAAGGGAGTATCGCCACAAGGCCCCAGAGAACCAGGAGTGCAAGTCAGTCCATTCCCCTTTATCTGGGGTAGGGTCCTGAGACCCATGTAAAGGGGTAGAAGGTGGCTCTGTGGATTTGGTTTGCTTATAGACCTTTCTGGAACCTTTCTATACAGCTGTCCCTGAGGAATGATAAGGCAGCACCCACCATAGCTCTTCAAATTTCCAGAGCTGAGCGGCAGCTTTTGAACTCATTCCTCTTAGATGAGCTGAGCTGCCTGTGATTTTCTCCACATACCCTGTAGAACCACATAATTTTGGAGCACATTCTTCTGCCAGACAACATGGAAAATTTGAGGTGCTCACTGACAGCTTCTCCTCCACACGGGAGCCTCTGCCTGGCAGAGCCTCAAAACAAACCCACAAAGCCCCAGCGGTGGCGCCCAGGCCTAGAGTGCTTGGTGTCACCCCTCCTGTCCACTCCTGTGTGGCCATCTTGCCCCGCTGAATTATACATTTTTTTTTTTTTTTTTTTTTTTTTTATAGAGGCATGCTTTTATTTATTTGTTTGCTGGTTTGTTTGTTTGTTTTTGTTTATACATGCACTGGGTACAGTCAGAAGCGCGGGAGGGTGAGAGAATTCACCAGAGCCAGAGCGGGGAGCAGAGCAGGCAGAAGGACCGAAGTACACTGCTGAGGGGAGCAGCGGGCGGCAGGAGAGGTCTGCACGCCATGTGGGACCCTCCTCCAGTGGCCGGGGAGCAGCCGGGGATCGAACCGGCGCCGCAGAGGCCGCGGGCAGCTTCGCAACCCAGCGCTCAACCGCTGCGCCACCGGGGAGGCCCTGAATTATACATTTTTAAACAGTTAAAAAATAAATTATTTTTGTAAAGGAATGAAATACCGAAATTACAACACAACATAGATGAATCTTGAAAAGAATATACTTAGTGAAAGAAGCCAGACACCAAAGGTTGCATATCGTATGCGTCCGTTTACAGAAAAATATCCAAAACAAGTAGATCTATGGAAGCAAAAGGTAGATTGACAGTTGCGGGTGGCTGGGGAAACGGGAGAAGCGGGAGGGAGGGTTCCTCTTTGGGGTGATGACAATGGCCTGGAATTAGATAGCGGTGGCAGTTGCACAACCTCGCAGCTAACTAAAAGCTACTGAATCGTGTACTTGTAAAGGGCGCGGTTCATGGATGTGAATTGTATTTCAGTTTAGAAAACAAAGGGCCAACAAAAATAAGACCCATCTAGGTCCTCCACTAATGACTGGACACGCTTGTGATAAGGAACCTTCTAGGAATTGCTCTACTGAATGGACTGTCAGTGTCCTCCCCAGTGGAGTGGAGGTGACAGAGGAACCAAGGGTAGTTATTTTCTGGGTGTAGCATCTCCTTTTTTTTTTTTTTTTATACTATCTTTGTCCTCTCTTCCAGCATTCTCATTGTTAAAGTGCTTGCCTGTTCTGTACACAACCGTTCAGCCTTTCATAAGCCTCAGAGAAGACAATTCACAAGTGGGGGGTTAGGGGTTCCCAGGGCGGGGTGGAGGGCATTTTCTTCTGAACAAACAGGCTCATTCACTTTGCTGTCAGGAGGGTATTTCTTGCTCTCAGTCAGTTTTGTAGCCTCCTCGCTTTTCTCTTCCTAAGCCTTTACATTGCACACCTTTTTCAAAATCACCCAATATATATTCCGTTCTCATTTGTCAGTCATAAATCAATAAAGCTGGGGAAATTAAGTAAAGAAATCAGGATGGGGGCCTTTCTGGTGGCGCAGGGGTTAAAGTCTCAGCACTATCAAGCTATCGCCAGTCACTGCGGCCTGAGTTCGATCCCCGGCCAGGGAAATGACCCACATGGCACAGCAGACCTCTCCTGTCTCGCCCGCTGCTCCCCTCAGCAGTGTATTTTAGTCAGTCCATCCCCCTCCCTGCATCTCTGACCTGCACCCCAGGTCTTGTATGCATAGATAAATAAATCTTTAAAAAACAAAAGGAATCAGGATGGCATGGGCGGTGGGAAAGTCTTCAGTGTGTTGGCACAGTGTCCCCTGGAGACAGCAGCCTGCCCTGCGTGGAGCCTTCTCCCTGCTACGTCAGTGCTCCCGCTGACTGCTATATTCAGTCTTGCCTCCGTGTTAATAGTTGGATATATCACTTCTATTTTTACATCCGCTTTTCCCGTTGTACTAGAGTGAGATGTTGGCAGT